CATGGACCATGTTGAACTTAGCATTTTATGACTTGGGAGGCTGTCTGAATCCAAATTACTAGTTGTGGAACAAGGCTGTGCCTTGCACATTCACCTTATGAAGGCAGCCTAAACTTAAATGTACTGTCTCTCCTCAAAGGTGGCAGCATCGGGATCCTTCTGAGAAGGATCATGGAGCCACATTTCATCTGTCTTCATGGTGAGGTAATACACGGAGGTGGGGAGAGGTGTCCTATGTGGGAGCACAGACCTCGGGTCTTTTGAGGTGTGTTCCAACAGTCACCTCACCTGCCCCGGGGCCCTGGCTTTTCTCCATGTAGTGTGAACGAGAAGGTAGCGTAATTACAAGGCTGAATGTACTTTCAAAATGCTGCGCTGGACATAGCTGAGGACTACGTCAAGCTGACATGACAATATTCACCATATTTCAGGGATTAAGCCCGTGTTCTTTACAGGGAGAGCAGCATCATAAATTGCCTTTTATGTTCACTTTAGCAGCAATTTGCTAGAGTGATTGCTGCATGTGCTACTTCTGCCTGCATGTGTGCCCTGGGATGCTCTCATCTCGTTATAATCATCATTATCATGTGGGCAGGGGTGATGGGCAGTGGTGGCTTGCACACCTTTGGCGTGTAAAGTTTGGAGTTGCTCCTTTCCAGGCTTTTTTTAACACTTCTTCTGTTGTGTGGCTACAGTTGGGAAATCATTAGACAACACCTAATGCTGGGATGATTACTCTTTCCTCTCTCTCTATTGTTTAAATAAATTTTAATGGCACTATAAAGGAAGACAATGAAAATTTGTAGTGCGGGATTGGATATGGAAGGGCAATTGAAAAGTTAGAGTTAAGTGACATGTGTGAGAGAGAGGATAAAAGGGAAGTATAGAAATTCTTATGGGGAGACTGAGATAGGGCCCAGAAATCTAAGAAATAATTCAAGTTGAGAAAAGGGGCAAAGGGGAAGAGTTCAATGACCACATATGGCTGATATAAACGTGCAGAACTGATAAAGAGTTTGCTGAATTTCAGTTGAAAGGTCAGTGTCTGTCAGGAACCCTTAACTGGGATAAATATCTGAATCTACAAGCCGTGATTTTCATGGTAATGTTTTGCTGAGCAGAAAAGGAAATAAATGGCATTATATGATTTTCAGAAATTTCCAGAGTAGTGTGCCAAACAAATGGCAATGCTTACAAAAAAGAGCCAAATATCAGATTTTATGACTTTTTTTCTGGAATGTGCCATGTTTAGTTATCCAATACATCCCAAAGCTGGAGTAACTTATCCTGTTCATAGCTTAAGACTATAGATAAAACACACTGATATAATGATAAATTATTCAGATTTTTATGAACACTGCTATTGTAAAATTGGTGACCTCATGATGCTTGCTACTGTTTAGCTTCCGCTACATTTGGGCATGAAAGTATAGCCAAAAATTAATCCAGGTTTGTAATTATATAATTACATGTTAAAGCTTTCCATTAACGTATATACAAAACTAGAAAAAGAATTTTGATTCTCCATGAAATGGTTTGATCTATCCAGAGCCCTTCAAGAACTTTTGTCTAATCTGGAGTCTTCAAACTATATTTAAGCCTAATTTTATTAGGACTTTGCCTATATGTTTATTAGATTAAAAAAAAAATAAAAAGAATACCTGATCCATTTGATCTTAGCATTTCAGCAGGCAATCAGAAGGTTGTCTTGTATTCTTTTTCAGTATTTTATCTGAAAGGGAGAGAGGAAAGAGAAGAACAAAAACCACCTATTAAATAACTTATCCACTGTTACTTTCACCTTTTTCAATAAAGGAAAAAAATCTCAGAATATATTAAAGAAGTTCTTAAAGTTCTGAGGTGATGATCTCTGGAGGTCCCTTCCAACCTCAAATATTCTGTGATTCTATGGTCACCTTTATATTCTTTTATGAGAGGAAAATCTTTTGTACGTTCAAATAATGCAGCAGGTATGTACATTCTCTTCCTCAGACTAATCTGCTTTGAGTACAGAGAGGGACATTCAATTTCAAGGGCATCTAAGGTTGTCATTGAGATCTGAAGACTGAAAATGAGAGTATCAAAAGCAATCTCCACATCAAGCCTTTCAAAATGATACAGTACATCACATGCAACTTTTTATGCTTAGTCTTTCAAAAAGACCTGATTTAGTACTGACTTGTTCAACATAAATTAAATAAGCATGTCAGCAGCCTAATAACAACTCATGTTGTAAATACTCTGTCCTTCAGTTAATATAGGTACAGAAGGGTTGTTTACATAATTTATGGTTTCCATATAATATGACATTCAGAGAGTAAGGGGAATGTTGTAAATTCCTGATGAAATGCAAGAATATGTCTGTTTACTATTAAATGTGATTCACTGCAGTTTCTCCCTTTCCCTTTTCTCTGTATTTTTTCTAGATGATATTTATGGGGTATTTTACACAAACGGAAGTATAAACTTTTTATTGAGAGTGAGTGCAGAATACTTTGTGTATAGAATTATCACCTTTATTTTGAGTTGTTCTTTTAGGCTGCATGTTTTCATCATCCTTACTTATCTTAAATAACAGAACACACTGAGAACTGGAATTCAGATGAAAATTGCAAGGAAATTATAATTGAATAACAACTCAAAATTGAAAATGGTATTAATGTATCAGCTACTTCATAGAGCACAACCCAGACCCACCAGCATGCATTTAATGCTTCTACTTTAATTTTTCTCCTCCTCCCCTGCATAAGTATACAGATGACTTGTAACAGCGTTGAAATAGACAGAATCACCTTTTAGATCACAAAATTAGTTACCCATACCAATGATAATTGTGTTTTATTTTGTTATTGTGCTTGCTTATCATAAAAAGTCAGTACTTTGGGGTAAAGCAGAACTGGAGAATCTGACTACCAGAACATGCAATCAGCTGCATATATCAGCTTACTCATCTGCAAATCTGTGAGGATTGCTGCCCAGTCATTTGCCCAACTATAAACCTGATTTGTGGAATCTTTTTCAAAGTCAGGTTTTTGCTTTCTTTAAGCATTAGGTGGTTTTAGTGATTTGTAGCATTTATATTCAATAATATTTTATAAAATAAAGCAATTGGGCAAAAATGCATTGAAGAAAGCTATTTTTATTGAATGCTGATGTTTGAGGGAGAAAAAAAAAAAAAAGTGTTCCTTATCTAGTGCTCCTTTTGGATTACGATGGGGTTTAGGATCTTGGAGTATAACAGCACTGTCAGTAGAAATTTGACCATTTGCTGAACCAGAATAATTTCATTAGCTCTATCTACATGAAATCTTTTCAAGTGCATCAGATACATAATAAAACATTTTTAAGTACGTTTGATACTTTTAAAATTTGTACAATATTATAAACAGACTTTTTATAATTCACATGTAATTTCTTGTTAGAATGCAATTTTGCTCTGCTTTCACTTCCTACTTTTTTAACCACAGGTAAATATTTAAGCATTATGTTTACATTATGCACTAAATACTTGGTCTGTATTTGTAACTACAGATTTGGTTTGTGCTCTCTTCACACCTCTTGCATATTTGAATGTATAGAAATAGGGAAGTTTAGCTTGGGAGCTTTAAAACCCTTTCTTATCTTGAGGCATGATTAAAGTTTGCTCTTTACTTGATATTTTGTGCTTCTTTCCAGCAGAAGACATCCAGAAATGGATACCTGGATCTTCAGTTAATATTGAACATACTTTTGACCATATAACTTTTGATATTAGATTGATGCTGTTATTCAGACACTGACAATTTGCATGACTAATAATACAGCTGATAGGAAAATGTGTTTTGTTGTATTAGCACAAAGTTGTGTTTAGCTGCTCCGTAGTCATCCACAGTTCTGCCCCTGCATCTGATTGCTGAGGCAATGTAATAATAAAGCCCTTCTCCAGTATTTGTACACTTAAACTTTAGCCTGTTTGCATAATAAATGGATGTCCCCTTAGGAAGAAGTGTTGGGTCCCAAGGCAAACAGTGGAATTTGTGAATTCTCTTCTTGCCTTCTTTCACTCAGTTTTAGGAATTCTGATACCTAAATATGTAAGAATCTAAAAAGTGATCTCTACTCCAACTTTCCTAGGAATAGTAATAGTGAATAGTAATAGTTGCTTGTTTATTGATGACACTTCTAGAAACAGATACTCAGAACCAGCACTTTCTACAAAGATTTTGCAGATTTGCTTACCACTATTCCAAAAAAACTTGCTCTGCTGTTTCACTTATTCCATTTCTATACTCAATAGAGTTTACACAATTTGAAAACTTCTGTTTTAATTCTGACTAGATTGTTCTATGCATATTCCTAATGCCATAAAAGTTAAAAATCTTACCTTTTGTTAGAGCTGCAGATGTTTGATTTAACCTTTCCCAGCTAAAGAGAAGTACTATTTTTTTTTTTTTTTGTGCAAAGATTACATTAATCCATATTGGACTGGTGGCAGTCCTTCCACATTTTGAGTGGAATATTTTCCTTCATAGTATTTTGGCACCCACATATGCTGTTGACCAAGAACATGTGATAGACAGTAAAAAAGTAAAGCTGCATGGAAGCATTCTGAATTGTTTAGTTGTAAATTTTACAACATTTTCTGTTAAAGCATGGCTGACATTTTTATGTTAATAATCTTCAGTAGATCATTATTTTATATTACTCTTAAGGAACACTAAATGGTAATAAAATAAATGGTGCACATATTGGAATGTAAGTAGTTGCTGCTGGCCTTTAAACATAGTCCTTACTCTTGGACAGTGTACAGAATCTCCAGTGTTTTCATTAGTTATTACTTGTTCCTGCTTTACTAGTTTAACTCTAAAGACAAATTCAGCATATCATGAACTGCTAAATATAACTTATTTTTCAAACTATATGTGCAAAAGATACGAAAAAGTGACTGTGGTCTCAATTCTCAATTATTCTTCTTTTCATAAAAGTGCTTTCTGTTAACCCCTCTTTTTCTCCTATTTTGCACTTCACTACTATAGCTGAATTGTAGTTCTTTTCTGTAGAGTTGATCAAACATTCTCACCATTATATAATACAATTTTCATTTTATTTTAAACATACTTTGCATGATATAAAAATATTGATCACAGTGAGCTTTAACAATTGTTACTGCTATAAACAGGAATGCTGCACAATGTTTTTAGTGGAAATAAATTATATAGTCATTATCTCTTAAAAAAAAAAAATCACAAGAAGAACCTAGGCTGTTTGGTCATTGGCAGAAAATAAGTCCTTACTGAGTTCGTTACAAAACATGAACCCCAGTTATTTTCTTCATTTGCTTTCCACATCTTGAGAAAAGCACAATGTTTCTGTCTCTGAAAGCCCCACAGGGTCTCTGGTGAACATTTAATTCCAAATATTAGCAAAGTTTTTGCTGTTCGTTTGTTTGTTCTAATGGAAAAATGTACACCAAAATAGTGAGTAGTGCTGCCTTCACTAATTCATGAGTGGTCTTCTCCAGTATGTGGGTACACAGCGGCACACTTCTTCACTGAAATAAAATCCAGCATCACAGCGTTTCGTTCGAACTGTACATGGTGGTCTGTAACAACTAAAGAGATGAAAAAAGGGGGCATAAGTAAAACGTAATTATTTAGGAATACAAATCTATGGCATTTATGATGGCATTGCTCTAAGGAACATTTATATTCCACATAATTCATGTGAATACGTATATTTACAACTTCTGTTTATATTCTTACACCATATTCTTGCAATTCAACTTTTCATCACTAAAGACATTAAATAGACAGAAGAATGTTGCTGAGAGAAATAATGGGGCTTTATAAGTGATATATACATATATACACACACACACACAAGCATTTCCTATCTGTATTAATCTTAAGTAATGCATCAAAACTCAATTTGGAGACACAAAAATATTTTTCTCTACTTCAGTCAGATCAATATGCTACTTGTTTGAGAGGACAGTCTAGAATGAGTAAGAAAATCTAACATCGTCTTCATCAGGACTGTTTGTCTTATTCACTAATACAGTAGCCATTTATATACATATATTTCACAATGTGCCTGATCTTGAAAATGAGAGCATAAATAGCTCCTCACTGAGTTCAATGGGGATATATCTATACTTCAGATTATATCCATGTCTATTCTGACACAGGATCAGAGCCTACATGTTCTGCATGTTTCTGACAAATCTTAAAGGATAAAGAACAGAAATACCACTTAGATAAAATAAACTTAATTGAAAAAGATCTTTAAATCACTAATCACAACTAGCTAAAAATCAGAAGAATTTCCATTTATTTCATTATATGAATTAAAAAATAGAACCTATACAAAAATAGCATCTGTGGTTGTCCCTGACCTCCTCTTCCTTTATTTTTTCCTATTAAAACAACAATTTGACCTAAAATAACCTTGCGACAACAATGCTAAACACTTTCTGGTGTATAATGGAGACAAAGCACAAGTCTGAGCCTTTTTTTGAGAGACTGGCATTGAGTCAAGAGAGGAAAAGTATATGTTTCAATTTTCAACAGTTATACTTAAAACTTGTATTTAAATATTATGTGCATGAAACACTGATATTATGATCTATTATGATAATTCATGCTTACTTCAGTTTAAAGACATTACAGCATATTATATTAAGGCAAGTTCAGTACACTCCTCCCAAGACAATTTCTTTGTTTCAAGTTTGTGGTTACTCTTATTATTGTTGTAGATATGTTAATATGTTGCATGCTTATTTTGGATACCAAATTGCCACTTTGTAATAATTTGTTTATGCTATGAGGTCTGGATTACAATGATGTTCATTCAAGCCAATTAGTTCAACCAATGAACATGGATATGAGGAAAGCAATAAGGAATGAGGAAGACAGCAACCATGACATTTACTAACTGTCGGATCTCGTTCAGTGTTTTCAGTGTCATGAATCATATGTTATTTCACCAGTGTAGCTTATTTGAGAGTAGAATTACTTTGTGCTAGGTCCAGTAACTCTTAATATGGCATCATGTTAAGATGACTCTTACTGCTCTTACTGAGCAACAACTCAGGGAACTCTCAAAGCCCTACTACTCTTTATGTGCTTCATAATTTATGAAATTTCCGGATTTTCAGAATTTATGTGCTTCATAACCAGACCAGAAACCAGAATTCAATTCTGAATTCAGAATACAATACACCATATACAATACTTTCTCTCTTTCTCAATAAAATGGAGAAGTGCTTAGCAAAAAAGAAACACCAAGAAGTGTCCTATGTCCTGCTGACCCTGGAAGCAAAAAAGAAGTTAAAGCTCTTTACGGCACTCAAACACAATACAAAGAAAATGATGGTATCTCTAGAACTAACTCCTGAAATCCAGTTAGGACTATTTTAATTATTAGAAGTGCAATATTCAGTTCTTGTAGAAAACAGATTGGGATTTCTTAAATATCATAAAAACTGGGAACTTGAATTTATACTACATCCTCACCAAGAGATTTATTTATTTATTTTTAAGAAAAAGTTACATGAAATACTACTAATAAATATGAGAGATTACAGGAAACTAAATATACTTCAAAATATTAATTCTGCCTAGTTGTTTCCTTCTAGAAATGATAAAAGTTGTAATAAATAACCAAAAAGAACTTCATAGCTTACTTATGGCTATGCTGTGATTCAGCAACACAGCTAATAAACACAGCTAAAATTTTATACCCAAAATAATGAAAAGTTTAAAGACTTAAGTTACCTGCATGTCTGGTAGTGGAACCTTTTTCCTTTTAAGAAGCATTTATTGGGAGATTCTGTACATTCACAGGTGCATTTTGCAGGATTTAGTGGCTGATGTTTTGGACAGGTTTTTTTACATACACACTGGCATTTATCTTCATCAAATTCTTTGTTGGGCCCACAGGAAGCAGGGAGAAGTTTGTTTCTGCACATGCACTGACATGATGTTCTATCTAATTCTTTGTGAGGTCCACAGCTGGAGGGCCGCACACCCCCTTTGCAGACACATTGACAGGTTTCTTCATCCAGCTCCTTGTTTGGCCCACAAATATGGAATCCTTCGGATGTGTCTAGAAATCAGGCAAAATTGTTACATAATTATCAAACTTTAACTGCATGTATTTTCACATTTTTCAAGTGGTATAGTGATAAAAACGCCTGAAGTTTTTCAAGAACAAAAGTAATTCAAGAGTGAAGCAATATTCAGTAATAGCATTAAAAAGTCTCAGCTATTTCATTTTCAGAATTTTTATTTTTCCTTTAGATAAAAAGAAAATGAAACTGCATCTAATGCTTAAAAATTACCTACCCGTGTCCCCAGGGTGAGACGAGAAACCAAAATCATGTTGTGCCAAACATCGGCAAATTTGATTATTCCAGATATGATTTTTTGGACAGGTCTTGTTTGCCACATGGCACCTACGGAATGAAATACACTGTTAGTTTAGTATTTTATTACCAAAAAAAAAAAAAAAAAAAAAGAGAGAGAGAGAGAGAGAGAGAGAAACTGAGAAGCTTGATTGTAGGCACTGATCACATTTATTCCCTTTCATTAACAAAATCTTCTGCCAAGTAAATTTGTAATTTCATTTCCTGGCAAATCTATTACCTTATGTTCTCCCCACTTCAGAAATCTTCAATCATTTGTTGATGTTGCCTCGTCTTAGATCAAGTTTTAGTTGTAATTTGTAGAAACTGTTATTGGTGATTTCCTAATGCAGCCTAGTAACGGATTTATGTTATAATATATCTTACATGTAAAACTTCCATACAAAATAGACCGGGGTGAAAATCACTTGTGAACCAAATAGGTGCTAACAGGCATAAATTTTCCACATTGCTCTTTACAGTACAAAAATGCTTCCACACCTACATCCATCAAAAGACAACTGATAGTGGTTTCCAAATTAACGCTGAAGACTGAACTTTCAAATAAACCCAGATTATGAGATTCTCCTCCCCTTTTAAGAAAATTCTAGGTCATTTACTGACTCTTTCTCAACATCCACCCTAATCTTAAGATAGCTTTCTTGAATCTCATCCGTTCTTGACTCTAATATCTTCAGATTTCATCGGTGTTGCCTCTTCACAGCAGACATGAGAGGCAGTAAGAACTTCTCGCCGTTCCGTGCTCTAGAGCTGCTGGTCGTGCAGCCCGGGACTGCTGCCAAAGAAAGTGCAATACCTCAACAGCAGCTGGTCTCTTTTTAAATGAGGGCTGAACTCAACTAGTAAGTCCTCCACAAATAGACTATTCGTGTATATTATTTGATCTTTCTCACTTGCAATCTCTTTATCTCCATGGGCGACATTACACGTTTTAATGAGTCATGCCTGATTTCATACATCTAGTCATTTCTGCATTGTTTCTGCAGTTATTACTAAAATTCTCATCGGGTAAAACAGCACATACATTGTACATTTTAAGTATTCTTTTCCCTTTCCCTGGGGAGCAGCATTACTCATCATTCAGAAATGCAGGTGCTAGGACATTCTTCCTCGATTATGAAGGATACCACTCCCCTCCAACACATTAAGCAGCTTTTTTGTCAGTAATGACTGCTGTAGTTTAACGTTATCCTGCAATGCCTCATCTTTTATCAAGCTGTCAATTGTCATTTCTTTCTGCTAATGATCTCACTTGTGCTCCTTGGCTACTTTTCTTCTGGGCATGTGTGTTCTTTTTCCTATCTCCTGTTTCTGCTTGAGAAACTGTGCAGAGAATTTACAGACATATTCTTGTATTCTGTTTAAACAACAACTCAAACCCAGAGTAGTCTGGCTCTAACCAGGCAAGTTTTAAACTAAATACAAAAGTTAGCCAGGGGTGACGGTGTGAAGGAAACCTCAAGCACATAAGAACCATAATAGGATGATGTTTATAACAAAATCAAATTACCAAAGAACTCGGAGAGAACTCTATGTATTTCCATGTCAGGAATCTAGACAGCAGGCAAAAGGAAGCGCTTACTGGCACATTCTATCCTGGTGGCCAGCACTGAGAATTATAGAAGGGAAGATTCCTATGGCTGAAAGTTTTAAGTGATTCATCACAACGTTTTAGGAAAGCTCAAGAGGACCAATGAGATCAGAGGGAAAACATTTTGCAAAAACGGTTCACTACCTCCTTCCAAGTCACTGTCAAACTTGGAAAACATATATGCCAGCTTGTTACCTGGCAGTATCCACACAGACACTAGGCAAGAAAGAAATATTTACTGTGTACAAAATATATCCATGCCACACCTACAATGTGCCTATCCGCTCTGTAAGCACCTACCTATAACAACACAGGCAAAAAAAATCACCGTGGAGACTTTGATCTATGTGATGCATAATGAAGGCCCAAAGAAAAGAATTGCCAAGTTTCTAAATAAAAAAAAGTCTAAATAGTTCTAATAGTTATTCAATTTTCTAGTTCAAATGCATCTTTTGATGAAATACTATATGAACAGAGGAGTACAACTCAGGATTAATCCAGCAGGTATTCTGAAACACTGATTAACAGGAACTAACATGCCTTACCTCCAAAAATATGTGAAGGTAGCTGCTAGTTTTGAGAAGGAAAAAGCAAAAAAAAAAAAAAAAAGGGAAAAGGGGAGGCCAAAGCGTTAGACCTTAACTGTCACGATGAAGCTCTGCATATATATTTTTTAAAAGCTTATGGGGTTATAAAAAAAAAGTCATGTACTATTTCAATACTGTCTGGCATGTCATTTTTTCTCCTTCTTTCTTTTCTTTTTGTATGCCTATGCCAAGGTATAATCCAACCTTGAATTCCTATCATATCCTATAAGTACTACTATCTTAAAAAGCAAAGGCTACACTCTTACAATGACATGCAAAAAAGACATTATGATACCTACATTAAAGTGAGCATGTAGATAAATACATGTACAGATGCTGTTGTGACAAAAAAGCAGATTTCCAAGTTTTGGCTTTATGACAGTTTAACGAGCATGCAATCCCATACACAAAAATGAGAATGAGAGTAAGGACAATTAGTACTGTGGACTAGACTGCAACTATGCAGCTCCTGTGTGATTATGCCTTTGATGAATCCAACTGGGAACTTACAATGAAAATTAGGAATGCTGAGTGAATTCTTTATAGGCACCCTGCAACATTTTTAGACAGCTAAATAACTTTAAGCTTAAACCTTTTAAAATAAGTTTTTTTAAAAAAAGAAAATGTAAAAACAAAAATCAATCTCCTCAGTAGTTCTGGAACCTAAATATTAAAGACGCTGCTAGTACTAGAAAATGCTTTTTATGTTCAGTTCTAATATTTCTCAGCCTTTTGAAGTTCCTTACTTAGAAAATAGCTACTTGCTGTGCATACTGGTCTAAGTCCCCCTGTATCTATATGCTTACTTCCCTGCTAAAGGCAATTGAGTTGTTATTTGTAATTTAAATATATAGTTAACAGTTTTCTGCCTGAAGTAAACACTTGCAGAAGTAATTACAACCTCTCTTACTGTGAGAGAACAGAGGAGTCAACAGTATAATCTGACTTCATTATTTGCTTTTTCCCCTCCACTTTTTACAACCTGTTAATTAAGCAATTAGTTATTAACAGATATGTTTCCAATCCACTGCGTATGACGCTAATTTTGATAAAAAATTCAGTGATGTCCATTGAAATGAAACATAATCTAGCTCTTGAACTAGAGCACATGTCAGAAAGCATCAAGACTTGATTGAATGAAAATACAGGAAGAACTAACTCTGTAAACATTTTCCTATTCACTTGCCTTATTAAGCATGCATATAATTAACTTCAGTTCCACTTCTAGCCCTAGGTTCTTCTACAGAATACTTGTTGTAAATGTTATGTATTTTTGTTCTACTACATCATGAAATCACTCAGTCTTCTAGAATTAAGGGCATGAGATATTTAAGCTTTTTAATAGGAATTGCCTTAGTACCAATTTATTTTGTGTTTTTTTTTTTTAAGGTTTTGAAAAGGAAAAAAAAAATGATGCTATGCTCCTGTCCCAAATCTGTATGCTAATTTTCTGGTTTATCCACTAACCCTTTATTTCTCCTTCCCATTCTGTTTTAGTTTTCACTTCTAGAGTGTGGAAATGGCCAAAGAGATTTTTAGTCAAAAATTTTGCAGAAAGACTTTTTCTCCTCTTTAACAGCTGCTCACAAGAAAATAGAACTTGAGAGAGAATTTTGAGCACTCCTTACTTCCAATAATCAGTATTTTTGGATAGCTTTCCTTGATTTATTTATTTAAGAAGCTGATTTTATCCTTTTCAAAGGTCTGAATCATTTATTGACTTGATCATCATAATGTCATACTTTGCAGGTAGAATGCATAGGTTACTAAATTTGTAGACAGGAATGAGTAAGATGAATAAAAGCCTTTGGAATTTGGTTGTCTGAGAGCATTCATACCTCCAATGACATCGTATTTCACTACTTACTCATATCTTTGAAAAATTATATATTGTTATATGAAATTATTTTACATGTTTTCTCTAAGCCGCAATTGCATTGCAGCTCTTTCCATGAAAAAAGTCTCATAGCATTCCTTTTGATTTTTAAATTACCTAGCCCCAGTCTACACAACTGCATAAAAAGGACTCTGCTAATTATTTTAGTAACATTCTTCCTGCGTAAAATGATATTCATTCCTTTATAAAACTTTGCATTCTGCTTTTAGTAGTGTATATAAATTGATCTAGCTTAAATGTGAAAGCTTTGGACATTGTTTTATATCTAGTTTCATAGGCTTGCTCACAGTGTGAGAGAAAAGTGATCTGTACTTACTGAGTTTGTGTTGCTGGCAAGGAACGTCTTATGATAGAATGAACTTGTCTGTAGACATCCAACTTGGACATGCATCGGCAGGACGTGTGATTGGCAAAACTAACAGTCACAGGTTTGGGGCCATGAGAGAGTGGCACTGTAATCTCAAACAGCTACGAAAAAAAGAAAGGAAAAGAGAATTTTATAGATCAGTAACAGTACAACTAAACACAACGTAACAACAAAGGCACAAAAGCTATAAGGAATTTAACTCAGGATTTTCATTTCCTACCACCGTTCATTTATGCTAAGTAATCATTATGCGTAAAATAAACTTGATAACTGTGTTATGCCAATTGACACATTGCCCTGTTACGTGCCTGCTTGCTTAGCATGCATTTAAATTAAAATTGTTAAAAAAAGAAAGTGTACAAGGAACTTATTCTTCAAGAGAAAATGACTTTCCAATTGGCAGTCTTTCTTCAAAGCAAAACCTAATATTTGGAAGGTGCTACAGTCATCCAAAGAGTCAGGAAACAGGAATAATTTAAAAAGGGAGTAAGTTAGAATATAATGTCCCAGCACTACAGATACAGAGCTTATGTACAGTTACAAAGCAATATATTGCATTTAGGCCGTGACATTTTTGGATGAATGCGTTTATAACTACAGCATATTGTACTTTTTCACTTTCCCGTATTTTTATCAACATGAATTACATGATTATCCTAGTAGAGTGCATCTTGAATTGATAGCATTTGCTTATCAGGATAATAAAACATTATTATTTTAATAAAAGCAATATTTATGTGAATCAGTAAATTCTTGTTTTCTTGTGGGAAATATAGCTCTACTGATGGAAGAGCACAACTTCAGATATGCTTTGTGGGAAAAAAGTGAACAGGGGATAACTAATACACAAACAGCAAGACTCATTTCAGTATTTAACTCTGGACATTTACTTTATCAAAATAAGAATTTTGATTTCTAAGATTCAACTCTTGATAGTTTCATGAAAATTTACAACAAATACTTTATATCCAATTCCAAAAACAAAACAAAACAAACTTCATATTTTGTTGTATTTTAAGTAACATAATAGTGCTCAGCTTCCGTTTATGTGCTTACTCACTTTTCCAAATATATTTAAAAAGCTTTCATGCATATTCTGGGGATTTAAGTACTTTTAAAAATATTATCTATGTTTTTTATTCCATTTTCAATTGATGGGCTTGCATATCATGACACATTAGCTTTGTGCTGAAATTTATTTGCCATTACTCTTGATAATCAACAACTTCACGGTATAGTATGCGAACATAATAAAAACACTGACAGTTTAAAATAATTCAATATACAAAGCATATTTACTAGCATGTCTTGAAAACGGTATCTTGCACTGATACTTGTAAGTGAACATATGTATTCATCAAATACACATGAGGTGAAGAGGCTTGTGCAGCCCATGATGAAGCATATACCACTGTCATGCCCAAATCAAAGATTAAACTCAGGTTTCATAAAGTATAATCAATCTGATAAATATTCCACATTTTACAAAACAGATCTTGGCAGTATTTAGTGACTGAATCTTTAAAAATATTTAGCATTAGGAGTGTCATCATACAAGAATAGAATTGGCAAGGATATTAAATTGTCATCTTGCTTTGCTGACAAATACTGTAATGTTACTATTTTTACTATTTTTTTCATTTACATATTGGCTGAGCTCCATACAGCACCTTTAAAAATGTCCTCTCATATCAATTTTAAACACTACTTTTGCAACAGAATTTCTGAAAATGAAAACTGATACACATTTACTTCTGTAGAAGGAGAACCAAAACCAAAAAATATTTCCTGTATCTTCCAAGAACAGATGTAAAACTGTCTATCCAGAGAGCTACCATGGAAAGAATTTCTCTTGCTAGTTAGAGAGATTTCTAGCCAAAGCATATTAACATTTGGATTCCTGCTCCAGTTGCAAAATAAATAACCTTTCTTAAAATTTTGGTCCTCAGAGGCATTAATAAGATAATGGGACAAGATTTAAAGATTAAAGATTTAAAGTTTAAAGATTTGTACTAATAAAATGATTTCTAAGCAAATGTCTGCCTTTCTCCAACATAATTATCACCAGACAAACCTCCAGGGTTTTCACTAAGTTCAAAACAAACTTCTGGAAACAGTCTATGAACTTTTTATTATACTTACAATCCTCTTTGGCTTGCCAACCATATTGGCCCCTCTGTCCTTATCTATTATAAAAGCTCTTTCAAATTCATCTAAGGCCATTCTTACCAATACGTCCCATCCAAAAAAAAAAAAAAAAAAAAAGCAATGACAACTAAAAAGATCTTTTTTTTTTTTTTAAGTGACATTATATATGAGTATTGCTTTATGTCCCTATGCACTGAATTCACTATGGAGGACTTTGTAGCTTTCGCTACAATGCAGTAAATGCACAAGGTAGACAGCAAATTGCTGGTGATGGGAGGAGGGTTGTTGTATTTTAAGACAGAAAGGATCATGTTTTTGTAAAACAGTTTTAATTTATGCATACAGTGTGCATTTCACAAAATACATGTGAACTTCTGTTCTCCTTACAGGTGCCATAATGCTTGAATTACCCACACACATGTATGAACTCCACCTCTTTTTAAAAAGTTGTGCTTTCAGAAGGACAACACAGCAGTTGAGGCTTCTTTGAAAAATGTGTCTGTATAATAACCTATAGATGCAAAAGACTTTAATATATTAAACATCTTGCAAGAACACTCATTCTTAATCCATATGAATATGAGGGGCAGAATAAAGGGTATGGATTTAATTATAACATTATTTGTACAAAGAGAATCTTGTGCTTTCTTTCTACTCAGAGGACAGCCTGAACTTTCTTCTCTGAAGCTGAAATAAAAACCCATACAGGGAGACCTGATAGAACTCAGCAAGTGAAGATAAGCATGACCCTCCACATCACCCGAACTGTAGCTGACTAGCAAAGGGGGCCGATTTTGTACTACTGCTAGTCCTGGCGCAGGAACAATTTGCTGAGCTGCAAATCATAACCAAGGGCAGACTGCTGGAGAGGGCAGTCTAGGACTACTGCTACAATTACCAACCACCAGGATGACAGAGGTCCTTGTCAGGCCAGCTCTGGATGAGCTGCACAAATACACTAAGTGAAAGTTCAGTAAGAGTCTCTGAGCAGGACTTACCAATTCTGAGCTGAAACATGATGCATTGCCATCTCCATTTATCTTTCCATTTAAATTGTGAAAGGTGTCAGTTTAGAGGCAAGTGTTGCTAACAACTATTCTCAAAGTGTCAGTGCTACAATGTGAAAAAGTCTAGTTAAACCGCGTAAAGCTAGACCACTTTACTCTCTTTGACTTTAGAGAATTACTTTCAATTCATTCAAGTGAATTTTGTTAACAGCAACGTGTTTTATGTCACCTTCAAGTAGTTAATGTTCATACATAAAAATCAACAGAACAAAACCAACTGTTTATGTTAGAAACTAGATTATATCAAATTTGATACTACATTTCTAGACCTCTCTTTTGGTAAGTGGTGGAGATTACAAATTAACATTTTGAAAAAGAATATAAGGAATATCTATTTTTTTACTGGAAATGGTAGAATTAAGATACTAGGGTATGAATATTGGAAATATTCTCACAATTTTTGTTTGCACACGCTATTAGCATACTATATGCTGATGCGTACTTCAAAAGCAAGTAATTATAGTTCTTTTCTGAGAACGAAAAATCTATCGGGCAAGGAATTTGTATGAAATTTCTGAAAAGTATTTCTTACTGAAAATGTGTGTTTAACACTCAGAATAATTCTGTTCATATAATGTCTGATATTTTAAAACAAGATCAGTCTGAAACAAGTCTACATTCTGTTCTCGGCTACCCAAAATCCATTGAATCCCCAATGGATCCCCAAATCCATGGAAGTTGTTGAAGTAAAAGTGAAAAAAGTATATTTTTAATCTGTTTTGGAATCATCACATCTGAGAAGACATTTCAATTAGATGCTATCTCTTATCTCTATTACCTTCAGTAATCAGGTCAGATACTTTTAAAGCATCTTCAGTTTATCTTTTGTTTATCTCTGCCATCCCATGCAGTCATGAACAACAGTGGAGGCTATGGGGCACGCTTGGCAACACGTAACAGTCCAATGTCAATACCTAGAAAGGATTTTGCAACAGAAATGCAGCAGAGCGTCTGTGTATGAGGCCAGCTCTTGCCTGGTGTCTTTTCCGGCACTGTTGCTGGCTGCCTCGTGCCCCTGTGGGGCTGCTTGGAGTAGGGAGAGGATAGACTGACAACTGCCTCCAGAGTAAAGAAATTGCTTCTCAGAGGGCTAAACATTGCCTCTGTTCTCTTCATCAAATCATAGTAAGGATTGAACTAGTACATGCTACTGGCAGTAAAGAAAAGGCATTTTCTTCAAGGGCTGACACCTAACAGACGTGACAGACTTTCAAGACTAAAGACCTTGGGGAATGAGGCTCAACCCTCAGAAGAACAGAAGATCAAACAGTAGTAAGGATTTGGGCAGGTTTTTTTTTCAGAGTGGATAGCCCTTTTTGATCAGCATATAGCAAAAAATGTTAAACGTTAAAATATATTAAAGAATAAAGTGCATTAAATTAACAATACTAAATCTGGACAAAATACTCAAAAAAAAATCAGACTTAATTTGCTCATGCTGTTCTGTGCATATGTGTTTCCAATATCTATTCTGAGCACTGCATGAGGTTACAACTCAATGGAAAAACAATCAAAGCAAAAAATGACAGCAAAACTAGGGAGTATTATATACTGAGAAAAAATTAAAAACACACAAAATTACAGCTAAGGCTCTGTTCCAGTCTCTCCCACATGAACTAATGCAGTAGTAGAAATCAGTAGCATACTGTTAATCTGAGTATCTAATATATACTAATGGAAATTCTGTATTTCTGAAGAACCATTCAAAAACACACACTGTTAAAGCATTTCACAAGAATTTAACACTTCCCACCCCATCAGTCTGAGATGGTTTTGTCACTGATATCTAGTTTGCAGGTCTTCTGGTCTTTCTCGTGCCTTCTAACACTTCTCTGCAAGGCCCTGCATTGAGGCCTTGCCTCCCTAGGTCTTTACCCAACTCAGCA